GATCAGCAACAGATCAGTGTTTTCTGGCCTGTTGTTGCAGGACTGTACGTCAGTGTACACCTCACACTACAATCTGTGACCAGAGTAACCCATCTTACATTGTGGTGCTGACAACACATCTGCACAGAAACAGGAACAAACCTTTAAAAAAGACAATCCAGTCATGATAACATCAACGTCCTTTGGCTGAGAGATGTTAATGTGAGTCTGAGACGGTGGCGGAGTCTGAAGTTTCTGTTCTGTTAGTGAATCTATTCCCGCAGTAGCACAAGAAAAGTAGATTCTGTGACATATCCACTGTTTTCTGACAAAGAACCCACAATGCAAAGTGTCACATTTTACAGATGGGGAAATTATGTTTGTGAGACTCTTCAAATCAGTCAGAGAAGAAACATCTCATATTTCAGATATCCAGCAAAATCACTTTCAAAAAACCTGTTGACCTCAGGACGAGGAAACAGGAAGTGCTAACATGCTAATTCATTTCAGGGTTTCATGATTCATGCACTTTGCATTTGGTTTTTATTGATACACCAACTTCTCCACTTCAAACAAACACAGCTGCAGATGTCTCACTGAGCCTGATCAATATATAATCAAAAAATCTATCAAAAAGATCAGTGATCAAAGTTCACGACTTAAAAAGGGATAGAAATAATCCACATGTATAATTCTGTTAAGATGAACAGAAACACAATCAGCTGTTCACAGATGGAATGATCTCCACTGTGGTCAACAGTGTGTGTGCGTGTGTGTGTGTGCGTGTGTGTGTGTGTGTGTGTGTGTATGTGTTACTACATGACCATGTACATGACCTGAGAGTCATAACACAGACCAGATGTTGAGAAAGCCTGGAGAGAGAGAGGAATGTGAAGGAGACCCCTGACTATTGTTTGTGTTGTGTGTCATCACCGGACAAATAAACACACACACACACACACACACACACACACACACACACACACACACACACACACACACACACACACACACACACACCGGAATATTAAACTCTCATTCAGGGTCCTGTGGTTCATTCCTTCAGTATCTTAGCAACAGTGACTCAAGCCACGAGATCGAGACTACAGAGTTAAAGACGTCAGTCACTTGTCACCTTCACCAAATATTTACTGTAAAAACAACTCAAACAATAAATCCGGTACATTATTATTACTGTTTCTTCCCTCCTCTGTCTGAGGCTCTCAGCTCTGAGCTCATTGGTTCCTATTGGAGGCTGTGCTCTTTGTTAGAGACTAAATAAGAAAGATAGTCTGTCTCAAGGTGCCCGGTGGCTCACCTGGTGGAGCCTGTGCCATTTGGGCTTAGTCCTTGCTGCTGCGGCCTGGGTTCGAGTCTGGCCTCTGGCCCTTTGCTGTGTGTCATCCTCTTTCTCTCTCCTATTTTTTTTTTTTTTTTACAGTAAATACAGCTGAAATCAAAGCTCAGTCTTTGTCTTTAATTTAAGTATTGTGTGTGGGTTTGAGTCAAAATAAACATCAGTGTGTGTGTTTATGGTGATGGAACTGTATCAGGCTTTGATACACACATGGTACATGTTAGTACTTCCATAGCTGGTTTGCCTCTACACAGGATTTGCTGACAGTAAGAAAAATTAAATATTAAATATAAATCCCTGTCATAATCAGCTGCTGTTTGTTGTGTAATATCATCTATATTTCTTTTCTGCGTTGTGTTATTTGCTGCTGCAACAACCAACCTTTTCCCTACTTTCTGAACTCTGCTGATGCAGAAATGCTTCAGATACTAAAATGAATGAGTTCAGTCCCTTGCTGTGATAATGATGCAGGGACATTTTTCTCGTACAAGCAGTTCTGTGCTCGGAAATTGCAGCGAGCCAGCAGCTTGTCAGACACAAATAGGACACAGGATCAGCAAATAAAAACATCATAATATCCTTCACAGCTCCTCACGTCTCATAGAAAATAATCATCAAGTAGACATTGTTTTGAAAAGCTGACCATATATTCTAAATCTAAATGGTTAATTTCTCACATAAAATAATTTCAAAACTAAATCTAGTGACACAAAAACGGTTGACGTATGAAAATTATAACAGTCATAGGTTTGGCTGCTGGTTGATATTAAATGCACACAGATGCAGTAACTGTCCAACCTCAAGTTCCCAAAACTCAGTTCAAGACAGAGGAAGAACAGTGTCAGGCATTTGGACCGTTGTTGGCTAAATGTGGACTTTGAACTAGGACAGGATTTGGGCTGGAACCGACGATGCCTCATGAGTCAGCGATGGACAATGACGGTGTGAGGGGCCAGATATTTCTACACAAACAGGGGAAACATGATACTGGGGTTCTGGAAATGTCTGGTGACTTGTTCTGTTCGTGAATGAATCCCTGCTGCTGACTTGTGGTCCACCTTTCACTGGTTTCTGAAGAGGAAACAGTCACTTGCACGACAGAAAGGAAATACGTACCTCAGACAGGCAGGTTCAGGCTGTGGTCAGTGTCAGATGTCATGTCAGGGATAAGTGGGTGACGGTTTTGGTTTTATCTGCATGTAAAGGAAACAAGACAGAGAGAAAAAACGATCAATATGAAATACCTTTGGATGAATGTGAGCTCAATGATTTCCTGACTTCAGGCTGATGCAGAGTCAGGGTCAAACACAATGTGATGTTTATTAATCTAAATGTCTCTTGCCCTTTCCTGTTTTTTTTTCCACATTTCCTTGATGTGATATTAAATGTCATATCATTCTCTCCTAACCAGCGGCTGTTACTTTCCTAGACTGTTGACACAAAAAACACCAAACATCATCCTTTCACTGAACCAGTTTAAAGCTTCCATATAGTATAAAGGTAGATGTCCATGTCTTCTTTGATTATAAAGCAGGTCTAGGTTCTATATTAATACTGTGAAAATATCAAAGCGCTCAGTCCACAGAGAAATGCACACAGCCTGTTAACAAAAACTGAGCCTTAAACCGAGCCGTCAGGACTTCCTGAACTTTGTGATGTCACAACAAAGCAGTCACCCCTCTCAACCATGCCTCAAGCCTCGCCCACCTGTACCAACCCACCATGCAACCTTGCAGCATCTGGTTTCTCTTAGTGTTTACCTGAAATCTTCTATATTTTTTATTGGATCACTCAGAAAACAGTCAGCCAATCAGAAGAGAGGCTCAGAGCCTCCTCTCTTCTTCGTGGCTCACCAACCTGCTGTTACTAGAGCTCCAGAGAGAAGCCTGAGAGAGGAGATGTAAAATTACACTAAGATGGTTTTTGGTTCTTAAAACCACAAATATATCTTCTTATGGATCAACACTTCAAATAAAGCACAGGAAAGTGTAAAATGTGGACCTTTAAGTCAGCACCAAAGGTCTGTCAATTAATTATATAATATAAAGACATAGGGGATTTTATATACTAATGATAAAACAGTTCTACAGAATTTGTATAGCACTTCCCCTTAGAGAGTTTTAAAGGCCACAAAACAATGATAAATTAAAAGCAGCCACACAATAAAATGATCATGCTAAATAAAAGCAGGTTTAAGAGGGTTAAATACAGCAGGGATATAAACTGTTACAAAACCATATATTTAAGGTTGTGAGCATTAAGGTTTGAGTAAACTTCCTGTGTGAACTGACTACTTGAAGCTTCAGTAGGTTTCATGTGTGAGTCTGTTTTTCCATTTGAATCAACACAAGTTTACATTGAAAGGATCAGTAATGTATCTGTTGGTGTATTGTGTGATTTTTGTCTTCAGTGTGTTGATGATTATTGGCAGTTAACATGAAGAAAAAAACTTTCTTTGAGACCAAGACTGGTTTTCATTCAGATTAAGTCTGGAAATGCTGCATACAATTGTAACTTGGAAGGTGGAATTTTTAATCCTGAATTGGCATCCGAACTCTTCCTTTGAATTTAGAAATTCCAAGTTAATTGGCTGAGCACATTTTAAAATGCATGCCAGTTTGTGGCAAGCGTACGCTCACTCACCTGTCACTCAAAGTGGCCACGCCCTCAATTATACATAAATGTAAACCTTAATAAAATGTATACAGGTGACTTAAATAAAAATTCACGGCCTCTACAGTTGCCATGAAGGAGGAAATTAGCTACAGAAACCAAAACTGTTGTTGACTCACTGTTGGAGGCAGCCTCAAGTGGCACTTTAGTGTCGGCTTCATTTTTCTGATTGATTCAGCCATTCATGTTCCCTTCATGATGAACTGTAGTAACTTTGCTGATCCTACTTTTCCTTAGCGCCATCATTTGACCTACATTTTTATTTGTCCAGTACTTTGGTTACAGCAGATGAAAACAAAACTTGTTTATCATCAGTATTTCTTCATAATACGTAGATGGCTACATAAGCAGTGATCAAAGTAAAAAACAAACAAACTGTGTGGGTGTGGTTTGATCAGATTTGTTTGACAGTGACCAAACAGCTCATGTCATCAGATCTTTACTGATGCAAGTCTGTGACATCACCTTTTCCAAACTGAGCCCTGCCTACTAGTGCACAGAGAAAACATGAACACAGACCTCTTTCATGTCAAACATCCAAAAAATGTTCTAACTTTGGCAGAAAATATAGGATCCCATCACTAACAAGAAGCTGACTGAGGAAATATGTTTTTTTTAAAGACCAAACATCTGCAATACTAAAGACAATCCCATCAGCCTCTTTTGTTTGCTGTTAATCATGGCAAATGTTAGCATGCTAACACACTAACTAAGATGATGAACAGAATACCTACTAAACATTAGGATGTTAGCATAGTCACTGAGAACGTTGATGTTAGCATTTAGCTTAACGCAGTACTGTAGACCCCGACAGAGCTGCTAGCATGGCTGTAGACTCTGAGCTCACACTGTTGCTGTGTCTGTGCTCTCAAAGTAAAACACTTCAACTTTACTTTCCCTTCATAAATGAACTGCGCTAGAGATATGGTTGGTCTAAGTCTGGTTCTTTAATCCACACCAGAGTTTGATTGATAAAGTTTGTTCTCTACAGAAATGGGACCCGAGCCTGAAGTTGCTCGCAGAGGGCTACGCCACTAAATGTGTGTGGAACCACAACCCAGAATTGGAGGACACCGGAGAGAATCTGTTCGCCGGCACCGGGCCTCTGGACCTCAGAGAGGCTCTGGAGAAATGGTTCCTGGGTGAGTTGGTTGATCAGAGCGCAGGGTCTGTTTGTAAAACCAAACTCTACAGTAGCTGGTCCTCCATTTTAAAAGCCCATATTTCATGGCTTTCTACTTAAGCAGCAATCAGCAGACAGACACAGTAAGAGAGCAGCTGGTGAACATAGTGGAGCATTTAGCAGCTAAAAAGCCAGGTATTTCCCTTGGAAGCTGGTGGAGACCAAACACAGAGCTAAAAGAGAGGGAACACTGCTGGACGTGGAAGCAGGTGTTTTTCCCAGAAGACATTTTGATGTCACAGGAGGAAAAGCACAAAAATAAATATTACAATTTTTGATGGTTTTACTACATTTAGCTGCTTCAGTTGCAGGGTCCTGTTGTTTTTCACCCAGGCTCATTGTCACAGCTTACAGGCAAACTATCATTAATGTTATTAATAACACCTGTAATTTTCTGAGTACATGACAAAATGTCTGCTGTCTGATTGGTAACGTGTTAGCCACAACAAATTTATAAAGTTTCCTATTTCACCTTTTGCTTTTTTGAATAGTCAAAATTTGAAGTCTGTAAAATAATTGTTCTAAAACAAGTTATTTAATGTAAGAGAAGTGAGTCATCTTTAAGATAACTGTATCAGTGCTAAATGCTACAGCTTTCTACCTGCAGAACTCATCATCTGTAATTATTATGAGGCAAATACAGTCTTTCCATAATGTCCAGTCTAACATGATGTCTACTCTGATCCTGTACATCTCCAAGAACATTAACTCAAGTACTGCACTGTACTAAATGCTGCATACAATACAAGTTAATGCATCAGCAATATTCATCCATGAATAAAAAAAGGTCTGTGCTGTTCCTTAGGTTTTACTGGTAATTGAGTATTTCTATAGTGTGGTAGAGCTGATTTAATTATTCTGATTGATTCCTGTAGAGCACCTGGACTATGACTTCCACAACAACAGCTGTGACGAAGACAAGATGTGTGGACACTATACACAGGTCAGATACACACACGTACACACACACTGTACTTATTTATACACACACTTCTATCTCTGGACTGGATTAGCTGAATTTGTACTGTATGTGTGTGTGTGTGTGTGTGTGTGTGTGTGTGTGTTACAGATGGTGTGGGCAGACACACACAGAGTCGGCTGTGCCTTCCATCTCTGTAACAGTATGGAGGGACTGGATTGGGAGAGAGCCTCCTTTCTCGTCTGCAACTACTATCCAGCGTCAGTACTACTACTTCTACTACTTACTACTACAGTACTGTTACTAGTACAGAACTACTACCACCACGACTACTTCTACTACTACTGCTGCTACTTATACTACTTACTATGGCACCACTATTAATCTAATGACTGTTTGTACTGCCACTACTACTACCCGGGGTGGACAGTAACGAAGTACATTTACTTTATTACTGTACTTCAGTATATTTTCCAGTATCTGTACTTAACTTGAATAGTATTTATTTTGGAACTTCTTCTCCACTACACTTAGACAAATATTGTACTTTTCACTTCATTACATTTCTATGAAGTACTCTTACTTTGAAGCAGAGCTTTCAGTCCGAGGAATTAATTTCATTTTATTTTGAAAATGTGATAGACCATACACTGTGTTCATCACAGGAGAAAAACCAATCACAGCCAACTCCTACACTGTCAGTCATATTTGAACAGTTCAGTCTGAGCTTGGCAGTGTCCTAACAATGGCTACGTTAGATAAAGATGAGGATGAAGATCCTTCACCAGAGACCGTGGTCTGAGCTGAAGTCCAGGTGTGAAGTTAATTAATAGAGAAAGATTCATTTCTTTTTAAATGTTTGCTGTGTCTTCCACGACCAGACTTCATCACTGCCTTAATAAATAAACGAGACCGACCTCTACCCTTAAAGTATCACTACTCTTTCCAATACTACTGCTGCTGTGTCACTATCACTATGTTACCACTACCTCTAATGCTACTCCTACTATTACTATTCAATTATTAATACAACAACTACTGCTACTATAACTACTACTACCATTAAGAGTGTTTCTACTAGTACAAGTAGTTCTGCTGCTTACTGGTACTTTTATTTTTACTACCAATACTACTACTATTACCACTACAGTACTACCACTTGTACTTCTGTTATAGCTGCTGCTACCAATTCTCTACTGACAGTTTCATGCTACTGCTGGAACAACAGCTCCCTCTTGTGGACAGTAGTGATTTACTTCACACAGTGTGTGTGGATAGTTTGTGCATATGTTCAGTGTGTTGATTTAATTCTTCTAGGTGTAATTGGAAAGAGGAGACTTCAAATTTCTTCAAACAAAATAATGAATCAGACTAGACATTGTATCATTGGTCGTTATGAATATATGAACCTGTGTGTTCATCTGTGTGTGTGTGTGTGTGTGTGTGTGTGTGTGTGTGTGTGTGTGTGTGTGTGTCCTCAGAGGGAACTATGAAGATGAGAGGCCGTATGTAGAGGGTGACTGGTGCTCAAGATGTCCTGAAAACCTGCAGAAATGTGAAAACAACCTGTGTGGTACGACTCACCTGCCTCCTCTCTGTCGTCCTCTTTCTCTCCTGTGACTCAGCAGCTCAGATACATCGATTCAGTGTCAAGCTTCGGAGCTTAAATCAGATGTTCAGAGTTCAGTGCTGGTCTTGGTCCTGAGGATCCTGAATTGCTGCTTGTTCACTGCAGTAATTTGCATTCACTCGCCATCCCACCTGTAAATAAGACCCTGATTAGATGAGTTTAGTGAAGTAGCAGAGCTCTGAGACCAACGGTTTCCTGGCCCACTTTTATTAATAAAAACACTTCACAAGGCGGCTGCATCGCCACATATCTAAACTACAAAAAATAAAACTCTCCTGTTTTTTTCCAAATGAGAGATGAAACCTATATTACACGTATAAATTGATGGCATGATAATATACAGTCATATTCCATTTGTGTAATTCACATTTGACAGAAAATTAAACAGCTTAAGTGATTAATTACTGAAATTGTTTAATCAAACATTTTCTTTTTAAATATGGGGATTTCCTGCTTTTCTGTTTTACATCTTTCTCAATTTCAGCATTTTTAAAGCATGACTTTTATTTTTGGCTTTTAATGCCTTTATTAGATCATGATAGTAGAGAGATGACAGGAAACAAGGCAGGGAGAGATTCTACAGAGACTAGAGCGTCTTCATCTCTAACCAGATATCCTGTAAATCGTAATGTAATAAGATGCTGTGAGCTTTTAGTTTTGTCTGGACAGAACAAAATATTTGAAGATGTCACTGTGAGCTCTCAGGCTTGTGAAAGTTATTTTCACTATCAATAGACCAAGGAGACATCATCAAACATGTTCTTCTCAAACCAACAGTTCAAAACTCTGTTAAATTCAATTCACTGCAATGTAAAGACAAAGAAAAAGCAGAAAAATCTCACATTTAACAAGCAGGAACCAGGGAGTGAGAGAAAAGTCTTACAGGTTCTGTAGACGATCGTCACTGCCACTAGATGTCGCACTCGACCACCAGCATCTCAGACCAAAACAAACGCTTCGTCGGCCACAGCTCCGTTCGTACGTTTTCGGTCATTAAGGTGCTATGAAGCTTAGTAAAATCGTCCTCTAAACACCCAACAAGAGGCACAGCTGAATAAAGTTACCCAGTAAACACAAGAGCCAACAAAAAAGTCTAACCACGACAATAGCCCATGCTAGCATTGCCGTGATATGCTCCACCGCAATGCTAACAGTTAGCCAGCTAGCAATAGCAATATTTGCCAAACAAATCCCCATGACCAGTCCGCATGAAATCTGGTCTCTTCTCTTTCTTTGTCTGATGCCTTTTTAGCCGAAAACATGGTTTCTTCTTCAGTGGAGGACATTTTCTGGAAGGTCGCTTTCACCTGAACTGCACTGTGCCATCTCATGTGTGGGCGGAGCCTGTGTGTTTATAAATGTGGGGAGGGCCAGAGGTTTAACAGGAGAGACTCTCATGCACTAACATGCACATGTTACCAGACCGGCTGCCAAAAACAAGGAACAGAGAAACTCAGATTGCAACACATACAGAGGGGGTATATCTTTGTTCCCTGCTCAGGAAGCCATTACTCCACTATATCTTTACATAGAAACAATTGTTTGCTGCTTAATTATTGTTAAAAATGTATAGAACATTTAAGACTTATATCATTTATGCATTATCAGTCAATACCAATAATGTTGGGCTCTGCGAAACTGTAACAGGAAAAGTTTTTGTTTTTTTCCAGAAAGTTTTAACTTTAATTTATTATCGTAATTTTTAATAAAGATTGAATCCACTTTTACAGAGATAAAAAACAAAACAAAAAACAAGTAGAGACCGATTTGTAACATTTCCATTAGACAGTTTGATATTGATAATTGATAATATGTTAATTGTTTAAGTCCTTTATGAACCTAAAATGCTGAACAATCACTGCTTCTATGTTGGTAATTGTGAGGATTTGCTGCTTTTCTCTGTTTTATATCAGACACCTGATTATCTTTATGATTTCAATTGTTTCTTGGATAAAACAAGACATGTGGCCATGCCAAGTTGTGCTCTGGGAAACTGTAACTTAATTATAATAATTATAATTATACTAATAATCCTTAGCTGTGGCCCTAAAGTCTATTAGTCCCCCTGAGACAATCTGAGTAGGTTTTAACAAGTAATTTTCTTCTGCTGTTTTCTAGTTGCTGACACTGTGGAGGAGGAAGATGAAGAAGAGTGGTGGCCAACTCCTCTTCCTACAGCAACGTCCGATCCCTCCCTTCAGCTTGGACAGGAGGAAAATGAGGAGGAGAGGGTCGTTCCTCCTCCGAGAACAACTGATGTCCAGCCCGCGACCACCTCCACCTCTGCATTGGACTCTGAGGACATGATTTTACCAGACACCCCTGCCCCGGGCACAACCCCTCCAGAACTCCCCTCAGCAACACTGGGAGAGGAGAAAAAGGTTGGAGAGAAGATGGAGGAGGAGGAGAAGAAAGAGGAGGAGGGGGAGGAGGGAAAGGACACTATGGATAAGCCGGAGGGAGAAAGGGAAAAAGACATCGCACGAAAAAGACACCAGAGTGTGGAAGTTAATAACAATGCTGGTTTAGTATCATCACTTTCCCTCCTTTTAGCCTGTCTGACTGGGATCCTGACTCTGAGGCTGTGAGGGTGAAGAGGAGGAGGAGGAAGAGGAGAAAAGAGGAGAAAAGAGGAGACAATATGTTCACCTCACCTCACCACTCTTGCATTGACTGCACATTACCTTGTTAATCCGCCCTGTGGTAACAAACAGTCCCCCCCCCCTTCCCCTGCAGAGCAAAATGGGTCAATTAATAATTCACACTCATCAGAAACAAACAGCTGCCATTTTCACAACATCTGCACGTAGTCTGGACTCACATCTGGGTCACATAATGTTTTATAACCTGCTTCAACCTGCCTGGAATACAAAACACTTGATTGCCACTAAGTTAAAGTCACTCACAACTACTAAGTATGTTGTTTTCATGTAGAAGAAACACACTGACATCTAAGAAACAATTGAAAAACAACACAACTGTACTTGAGGGAAAAACTACTTATTGATGAACATGGGGTTTATGAGGTGAAGCACGATGTGATTCTGACCTTATTCACTTTGATGAGACGATTGTGAGATGAGAAAGTCAATATCAGTCTCATATCTATTAAGATGGAGTCAGGACGTGGTTAGCTTATCTTATCTTATCTTATCTTAACTTAGCTTAACGTAAATACTGGAAACAGGAGGAAACAGCTAGCCTGGTTCTGTCCACCTACCAGCACCTCTGAAGCTCACTGACTAACATGTTGTATCTTGAGACTGTCCTCCTGTTAAAAGTCCATAGGTCGTCTGTGCCGCAGGTAATTATGACCCATAGTTAAGTTTTATTGCTAGGCGACATCTAGTGGTCGTAGTAATTATGACAGGAGCAAAGCTAAAAGTGCGGTGACGTAATATAAAGAGAAACAAAGTCCGCATCAGGAGGAGGTTGTGGTGAATGGATGAGTTAACAAAACACAGGAATATGACACAGGAGAGCGGTGTTTGAGTCCCATGTGAAACCGACAGTTTATGTTGTAACCATGACACCGAAGATCGTCTAATGTTGAGGAAGCACTTATTTTAACCCAAACCATGACCTTTTCCTAAACCCAACCAAGCCATGACCGTTATTATAGTAACCATGGCGAGGGAAGTAGGAACGCCGCTCTCTGTACATTCCGCGTGTTTATTATTGTAACCATGACAACTGAGGTCCGGTGCGCCTCCCCCCATAGGGGCGCTATTTCACTCCCACGGATCATATCAGTGGGTTGAAAAAAACATCCTGTATGGTTGTTCAGATTGTTGTGTATCTTGTTTGTTTAATCATTTGATCAGGTGTCAGTCGATCAGACTCCTCCCCCTCCTCCTCCTCTCTCCTCCCCCTGAGGTTCAGATTAACCCTTTATTTGCTGCTCTTCACACTTCACTTCACACCACGTCCTAACTCCAGCTTTGTACTGAACTCACAGACATGAGACTGATGTCCACCTGAACACATGCTCTCATAAAGAAAGTCAAATTTTTTTCCCAAAATGTTGAACTATTCCTTTCACTTGAACCTTAGTTTTGTTAGCTCTGTCTGTTTTATGATGATAACTTGCTTTTATACATGTTCTTAGAAGCTTTACAAACACTGCTTTTAGATAAGTGCTATATTAGTGAAGATTATTGTCAAAATCACGATCCTCATAGTGTAACTTAATTATTTAAATAACACAAACATCCCTTAAAAACAGCTGCAAAATACCTGAATAATCTCTCCACTTTAACTCACAAGTTTCATACCTTAATATTTCTTTAAATTGCAAGTTCGGGTGGGGGGCTTTTACCTTACATAATATAATACACTGCATTTACTTTATGTTTTTATAACAACTGAAGGAATGTTCTGATATTTTGGGAAATTTTCTAATTTGCTGTAGCTTCAATGATCCAGAGATCTCAAACCAGGCTAGCTGTTTCCCTTTGCCTCCAGTTTTTGTGCTAAGCTAGGCTAGTCATATACAATGTGTGGTATACACATTCCTCTGAACTGTAGCGCATACAGATAATATTTCTTTCATGTGGGAGCAGAAGCAACATTTAGATAAGTTCACCCGTGACTGTAAGGAGCCCATGTTACCTAAAGTTTACCTAAAATATTAAACACTTGTGTGAAATTTTGTCATAATTGCTGTGAGAAGTGAGTAATGGCTAAAAAGTGTTTTGGTCATCTTGAACTTGACCTTTGACCTTTGAACCCCAAAGTCTAATCAGTTCGTACTTGAGTCCAAGGGAAGGTTTTTAGCAAATTTGAAGAAATTGCCTCAAGGAGATATTGTGTTCACAAGGCCAAAACCATGTTTTGTGAGGTCACCACAACATTGACCTTTGACCTTTGACCCAAAATCTAATCAGCTCATCCTTGAGTCCGAGTGAATGTTTGTGCCAAATTTGAAGAAGTTCTGGAAATATCGCGTCCACGAGAATGAGACGGATGGACAACCTGAAAACAATATGCCTCTGGCGGACGCCAGTGCGGACGCATTAACAGTATTATTTGTTTGTGACTTTAATTTGGTCGGAGCTCCGTGAATATACTCAACTATCTGTGATACCAGAGACCCAGAGCTGTGCTTCCTTTGTGCTGAAAACCAAAACGGGTTGAAGTGCTGTGAAGAGATGCCCTCTCAGATCTGTCAGTGGATCATTAGTATCTACAGGGTGAAGGCAGCGTAAAGATCTAAATATACAGTTTCATCTCACGTATAAAAACCACTGTAAAGATCAAGTCAAACCAAAGGAGTGGGAGCTGTTTTTATAGTGTTTTTAGTGTTAAGTAAATGCAGGAGAAATGACTGCTGAACAGTCTTTTTGTGTTTCAAACTGACGACCCTGCTTCTTCTTTGATGTCTTTCACAAATATATATCTACTCTGTATACGCTCTCAGACTGGAACTACAACTGGACAGAGTCTCTAATAATTTACATATCTCTGTTACACTGTCTTAGTCAGCAGGACATTACCATAACTATCTTCAGTAACTTTAGCAAAGATTGCTGTAAATGTCTGTATATAAGATTAATAATGAAATAAACCTTATTTCTCCTTTTTGAAAATATACTGTATATGTGGTTCTTTTTTCTCCCCAGTTTGTTTTCATTTATTCTTTGAATCTTTGTCCAGATTTTGATAAATTTAACTGAAATAACTCTTCTGTCTATCTCGTATGGAAGCTGACAGCAGGCGTCACTTTATGCATTAAATCTCGTTATCACGAGTTAATTATCTTGTTATTCTGAGAAACATACCTGTTACTCTTCTTGAGATAACAGGACAAAGGGTTTATAAAATAAAGAAAAGGTTGCTTTCACAAGGTAACAAGTTAATTCTCTTGTGTAAGTATTTTCAAGATAACAAAATTATTATCTCATTGGAGATAACTAAGCGACCATGGCCACAATCAAACAAAGTTATTTATATCATAATAATATAGTTTTTTTGCGATTATCTTGTTGTCTTGAGATAATAGAGTTGCGGAAATTGTATGAAAGCCAAAAGAAGCCACAGGTACAATAATTAATTATCTCACAATAACCGAATTGTTATTCTGATAACATGTTGATTGCAACAGGTGTTTTTTTTCCAGAGATAATGGGCTCTAATTTTCATGAAAAAACAAACAAACAAACAAAAAATATACACTTAATTGTGAAGTTCTTTCTATAGTCCTGATACAATGATTTTGATATACTGAGATACCAAAGACATTTATTTTGTTATTGGGGAACAAAAACAATGTTTTCTTTCAACACAACTGACCCATCATTACAAGGAAAATCACTGTCATCCTTAGGTAAGGTAAAATTAACCATAAATAATATAATAATATAATAAAGATAAATTCACTCAAAATCTCAAGATGACAGGATGAAAATGATTAATGTAGCCACTTTTAGCTTCCGTACAATCTGTGTCAAGCAGCAGCAAACATCATCACAACTCACTACACTTCGAGCTCATCTCATATCCTGTATATAAGTGTATTAATCCTGTAGGTTCTGGTCATTTCAATAATATGTTTTCACATTTATCTAAATGTGTTTAGGTTTCCTCGGCTGTGGAAATGGAGGGAATGCAGCAGAGGAGAGGAGGAGGGTGTTATGAGGTGCTCAGACTGGGTAAAAGAAAGAAGATTAAAAGTTTAAAGAGAGGTGAACATAGAAAAGTGCAAACCTGGAGGAGAGAGGGAGATTTAAAGAGAGGAAGAGAGAATAGTTGAAATATTCATTGCTAACTGCTCTTACCAGTCTCAGGCTATTTCTGGTGCTACACTTACTGCAAAACTGCACACTGAGAGGCTGTGTGCGTGTGTGTGTGTGTGTGTGTGTGTCTGTTTGCAGCCATTCCCTGCAGCTAAACAGCATTTCCGTTCTTGTATTAAAACGATCTTGTCTGATTGTATCTCTCTCTAGTGCGTCGCCCTCTTGTCTTTCCCTCCATCACTCTCTGTTGCTTTATTTCTCTGTGTTTGTGTTGTTGTGTGTTTTCTGATGGAGGGAGACGGTTTGGTTTTTGAAGGGGAAGTTGTCCATTATGTCCACAGTCACTGTAGTGTTTGTCAAGCTCATTACAGATGAGAAAACACATCATAACAAGTTTCAAAAGGGACTATTTTCTCTACTGTGGGAGACGCTTCACATATAGAGACCCACCCACTAAAGACGCCATTCCCTGTACACTGAACATCCTGCTGTTGCCACCAACCACCGCTCAAAAGTCGCCCATCAATGTGACCCCTGAGAGAACTGAGAACAGTACAACTCTATGCAAATGTTGATGCTACACAATGACAACAACCAATCATGCTCGCTGTTATTCCCTCCTGAAGCTGAGGCACAGAGGTGTTTTCTACACAACCAAATGAAAGAGCTTCAAACGGAAAGGGAAATCTCATTGTCGCAATCAATTGCTTCACAATTCTCTACAGAAAAGAGATGCGTGGAAATACGTCGCTCAGGTCCCGAAGCCGATAAAGGCTGTACTCGCAAATATTTTTTTATCCCAGTATCTCAAGATAACAAAACTCGTTATCCCGAGATAATGAGATGGTATCAGGTGAAAACGATTTTGACTGAACCTCATGTACGAAGTCAGTAACAACTACTGACTCCTTAGCAACAATCCTTAATAACTCCTTAGCTGATGAGGACTGATTTGAAAATCATCTTTAATGAAAAGACACAGTGTGATTTCTGCCCTTGATTGAAATATTCTCTAATGTGTTGATCAATGTGTAGTCCTGACATTTTCAGATTACAGTTGCCATCTGCATACTGGCTTGGCACCTTTGATCTGGGCAAACAGAAAAGGAGTTGGGAGGTCATTGTTCTGACTTCAGTGTATTCATGTGCTTGGGATGCTACAAAGATGTGCTGTATTTTATTGCTCATTTATTAGTGACCCCCCAATAAATAACTTCTGTAACTAATCTAGGTCACTGGACAGGAAGGATTACAGCCTATTACAATATTACGAATTAAATGTTACTTTTATCTGCCATGTTTCTGCATATATAACGTCAACAACTCGGCAAGTTGAGTCCCAACACAACATGAATGCAGGGTAAGACTCCACCTGGTTTAAGATGTGGAGTTAATCTTTGTCCGTGCAGACTTAAAGTGTCCTCTGTATTTGTATCAGCTATTTAGGTGCAATTTGCATCTACAGAAC